TCTGAAGGCTAGACCGACCTGGGTATCGCCATAGCCAATGGTGAAGACTGATGTGATGGAAAAATATGCAGCTTCCAAATATGTAATTTTGGCGAACACCGAAAAAGACATTGCGCCGGCGAATAAGTATGCAAGGAGTAATGCAAGAAAGCATACGCCAGTCAGCGACTGCAAGGCAGCTGATTACAAACAGCAGACATGTACTCACTCGATCCACACGCTTTTGCCAATGCGCTATTCAGCCAGATATCACGAAGACATTGCTGTTCTAACTTACCATCCACTATTCCAGCACTCTCACAAACCGATCCAAAGAGGAAACCCGCACGTCCAAGTTAATCATATCACCCAACTTTTTATGTGCCTTTGCATCCATGCAATGTAGAAAACTCATATTGACGAGTGGTTGTCTGCATGTGTATGTCTGTACGTTCGTCTCTAACGATTTTTCATCTCGAGACGTACAAAAGCCACAGGGTTGAAACTTTGGAAACTTAATCTACATACGTGCACGAGCCTCCATCTCCAAAATGCGTGATTACCCACGTAAGGGCCAGCCAAAATTTTTTTCGGGTGAGTTGCTAGCTCTGGAACTGAAAAGCTAGAAGACTGGAATTTTAAGAGAATGTTCCCCGTCCAATAAGATATTAATGAGTTCAAATCCAACGCTCGGGTATGCGTAGTACCCACGTACGGGCCAATGAAATTTTTTTAAAATTAAGTTGCTAACTCAAGAACCAGGAAAGCTAGAAAGCTGAGATTTTGAAGGGATATTTACTGATAGTTTTGGCGGTCAGTCTTAATTCTTTTAGCTAGAAGCATCTGCTGGGAAAACCAATGCCGCTAGCCACAGAAATCTGCTGGGAGCTATGAAAAAACGCATCTTAACACCGGCAGCCGGTGCGCTGGCCATTTTTTAACTTTGATACTCGTCTAAGAAACAATTTATCCAGCCCATCGTCATCTAGCAATTACCTTCCATGGTCTCTTCAAATTTCATTATTTGGGCCACAGTTACGATGAAGCAGTGGTGAGATTATAGAAAGGCTGCTGGATGCACTAGTAACTTAAGAACTCATCGCAATGGATTGGCATCTGATTAGAGTTTCAAGCGAATAAGCTTAACAGGCAGTTGTTATTTTGCTCATGCATACTTGTTGTTTGCTTTGACAGATGCTCGTGCTCATGCGCTTATCGAGTTGCGGGCTTGTCAAACCCTCTTTATTTGCCTAGGGTATTTTCACTCCATTTCGAAATTGTAAAGGATCTAATTTTCGAGATTTTGCATTTCAAAAGCGATCCTGAGGTGCACAGATGCTCGTGAACGCATGGGCCTAAAACTATTGATTGATACGTCTCGCGCAGACTACAAAAAAAATTCTTTCATAATTTACTTAGCATAATTTACTTAGGCGAAGGCATTCCGAAGTAGCATGGTTACAAGCCCTTCACTGCAGCAACCTTCCGCTGGAAAAACTACTCCTCTGGGCTGAATAAATGAGGAAAGATTGTTCTTCAATTAAAATAGGTGAAATATTTCAGAAAATTGTGCTAATGTGCCAAATTTGTAAGTATTTATACTTCGGGAAGAAAGCGCATCAGATAAAAGCTGAGAAATTTTCCGATATCGGTTATAGTGACCAGTACGAGCGGTGCACCGATAAGTGCATAAATTACAACAATAAATCGCCCCGCTTTTGTGATTGGTGCGACGAATCCATATCCTGAAACCATTTGAATCAGTAACATTTCAGTGGCATACTCAGAGTGGACTGGTCGAAAGGAGGAAGTGGTAACTCTTCTCTATCAGTCAGCCCTTTAACACCGATGCTTGAAATTAATTTCTTTTTCATTGCTGTCATTGCTGTTTGTTCGATCTTATTGTTTTGGAATTCTACCAAGTTAAGCTTGAGACCTAATGACTCAATTCATTTACCGTCGGCGATTTTCATCAATAATGCGGCGCGCATCAAGCTTACACATGCGATCATGGGTTTTTCACAATTTCATGCTGTAGTAATACCGCTTGGACTCGCCCACTTCATGTTATCCCTAGAAAATTTCAGCTTCCTAGTTCAGCTGGCTCACAAAATTGTTTTCCTGTCATAAGCCAGATACAAGTATACGCGAATGCTCACCTTACGTCTGCGGCTCGCACATAGAAGCAAATGTTCTCGTAAAATCAAAGGAACTTATTCAGCCTAGTTCCCGAGTTGACATTTTGCTAAAAAATGCGAAATCGCAGTTTTAGCGTATCAGTACACATGACGTATAACACATCGAAGCCGCGATTATTCATTAGCTGGCAAAATACTAACCCAGGAGCTAGACTAAGTAGGTTACTCTGATTTTACAAGGTGAATTTAAAATCTTCTGCTCACATAAGGACAAAAAATCTCGTGCGAATTATTAGCCCTCTACCTTCTCTGACCGCCCCGATCTTTCTCCTGCCAAAAAATTTGCACAAATTTCTCCAGGAGTCAGTACGTGAGATACG